TATACTGAAACATATAGTCGTCCATTTTTGGAATGTTTTATCGTGGAGATCAGACCGATATCTTCCTCTCTGTGGGTTAATTGCAGTATCTTGCGTATAACTACTAATTACACTAGTTCTCGGATGAACGTGATCATTCCTGTCTATGTCTCCCTTAGTCTTGTACATATGAAATTCGATATTTAGCGTGTCTTCCATGCATTTACACCAACTCTCGTATCATGCAATTCATTTGTACATTCGTGAGATATCGATATGTGTAATTCCTTCCATATACTCAGACCACGCTTTCAGAGGACGAGCTACTGAGTCTCGCTAAGCTCGTATCCAGCGTGGAGGCCGCCTATGGTAAGCCTGTGGACGTTGAGTGGGCGTACACGCAGCAGGGCGAGCTCAAGCTACAACAAGCTCGTCCTATAACCCGTCCTATAACCACGAAATTCCCTCTAGATCCGGCAATGCTAACTAAACCAGGTGAGCCGAGGAGGTTGTACTTTGACTTTCACATCGCCAGCGACGCGACTACAATATATCCCTTCACACACATGGATCTGGACGCGTACTGGGAGGTGTGGACCAAAGCCACAGGTTTTGGGGATATCAGCCACCCTCCTGACGATAGCGGTGACCACCCTTCTTTAACGAAGCAACCAGGCAGTATATCAATGCAAGTGCAACGTCCCGCCTGGGGTATAACCACAGCATTATGACTAAGGAATACGAACAAATAGACCTGTACGCCGCGTCCATCCTGAAGGGGAAGGAGGCTACGAACCCCAAGTATAAGGCGGAGAAGCTGCCTGATGACGTCACGTTCGCGAATGCGTGGTGGTTGTTCCGACGGATGCCACTGTGGCATATGTATATCATGAAAAACAAGTTCAAGGCCAACCCTGTCCAGTGTGGTAGCTAACTTAGGCTGCTATTGACAACGGCTCGCGCGGAGATAAAGGCTATAGTCGCAAAGGGGCCTACTTCTCAGGGGGGTTTGATCGAGTATGAGAACGCATTCGCTCGTGCGGCGTTCCCAGCGCTAGACCTGCAGTGTGCGGGAGCCTTTTTAACCCTCAGCGTGTTCAAGGAACTGGGCCGACAGAACAAAGAAGGCGAGACCCAGCAAATAAGGGACGGAGCGGCGGCAATGATGCTCGGATACAAAGGGGATCCACTGATGGAGATGAACATCGCGATGTATCATCTAGCACAGTCTCAGCCCGTGGAACTCTGGACAGAGTACGATGATAAGCTCGATGACCTATCGGACCGTATTCAGCGTAACGTGGAAGGCCGTGCCAGTACGGGTGACAAGCTTCCAGCTGCTTTCATAACAGGTTGGAAGGAGTTTATGGGTGACTTTGGGTATGATGGCACCGACCAACTGTTCATGAGCTATCCCCGCTATCACGAGCAGCCCGTCCTGCTGTTGCAGAAGATACGCCACAGCGCAGGCACCGATGTGAAGGACCCGGAACAAGCGATGCTACAGGCGCGCGACAGGCGCCAGACAGCACAGAAGGCTCAACTAGACGCAGCAAAGGCCAATGCCAAATGGTACAAGAGCACAGTGCAAGCAGTTCTCAAACGCAACGAGGCACTGGACGAGGTCATGTGGATCCGAAACTCGCCCAAGCTGTTCCAGTCCGAGATACTGAGTGCCGTTCGTACTGGTGTGCTTGTGTGCGAAACTCAGCTACTAGAGGCCAATCGGCTGGATGAAGCAGGGTATGTCTTCCACCTCAAGCTCTCCGAAGTGGACCAGGGTCTCTGCGGCCCGGAGCTGGACCTTCGGTATCTCATTGCGCCGAGAGAAGCACAGTATCTTCGTGCTAAGTGTGCGGGTATGACCCCCTTCTTGGTGGACTCTCGGTGCCGTATACTAAAGCCCGATGTCAAGGAACAGCAACCGGGTATGCTAGTAGGCATGGCCATCGCCCCAGGGCAGGCTAAGGATCCTCAAGAGTCCAAGTAGGAAGATAGGCAGAGGCGATATACTGGCCACAGTTATAACTGACCCGGCTTGGACGCCACTGTTCATTGGTTGTGCCGCGGTTGTCTTACAGGTAGGAGGAGCGCTGCAGCACGGTGCACTTTGCGCTCGCGAGTACGGCAAAGCAGGTGTAAGTTGCATTGATATGGCGGATCTAAAAGACGGTATGATGGTCTCGGGGGATGGTAACACGGGTGTTGACACAATACTAGCTGAAGAATAGGTCACAATTTAGGATTTCCGCTATCTAGAAATTAAAAATATTGTAATGATGATGCTCACTGCCACTTGTATTTGAATATGTATATAAATATATATATATTTATATACATATGTATACATATATATATATATTTACATATTTATATGTATAAACATATA